TCCATCTGTAGATTTTACTTCCTTAATGCCCATGAAGTGACGTTTATGACGACCTTGAAGACGAACTTCTGTTGATGTAGTAAAGTGGCTGTGAAAAAGGGCAGCTCGTTGGTCATCTCTATCACTAACATTTTTGCAGACATTACACAACTGCTTTTTTCACAGACATTACACACTGTCACAGTAGAAATAACCTTTTCACTCAATCGATGGCTATTTCAGTTTCAAATGGGTCCATTTAATGGAACAACTGCAGTATGAACGTACGATATCGATGCATCGTATGAGCGCCGAAATAGCTCAAGCGAGAAGAGTTGCTGCACATTTTGAGGAACAAGTTGATAAAGGACGACATCTCAAAAGATTGGAGGAAAAGGTCAGCCAATAGTGATTGGGTAAAGTCGAAGGCTTCGCTCGTATGAGTCGCTTTTTGAAAGTAGTCGGGTCAGTTACCCACGATGAATGGTGCAGGTTCAGGATACTTCGGGAACTCACGTTTTCTTGGGTTTCATTGGGTTACGTGTGCATTTTGCACGGATCACTATTGCAGTCGCATTCACCCTACTCCTGCTGCGATGGTGTAGTCAGATTCAATCGTCCGTTGTACAAAGTTTAGTGAGTGGGATCGTGTTTGGGATTTTCCGAAATGAGTGACCGTTTTTGACGGTTTTTTGATGGTCCTGGCGGTAACTCTAGGGGGTAAATTAGACAAAATTAGAACACAAACTTACCCCTCCTCTCAACCCCCAACCTCCGCCAATGTTCGACGGCCGTTTTGGAGGAAAAGCCGGCGGAGTTGAGTGAGTGTCGACTGGTCTCAGAATAATGCTACAGTTACAGCCATCACGACGAGGGTAATAGGGTGACAAAGGGTCGTGAAAATTTCTGAATTTGGACATCGGGCAGTTGACGGTGTAGTGTTCATGCAATCTTCTCCGTCATTATTGCAAAAATGCACAAGGTGGTGAAAATCTGGCATGTGGAAATTATTTCCGATGACGTAGTATAGTTTCGTTATTCATGTAGCTTACCCAAATTTCGGAAGTGGATCGAAGCTGTCCGTGCGATGGAGTAAAGCTGGTGGAAAGTCGTATTTGCTCTGCGGAAGCTAATTACTTGTTTTTGTTATTCCTTATGTTTGCTAAAAAAGGGATGCGATTCTGTGGCGGGAGTTTCCCTAATCGCGTGCACAGTTTGGTGGCTTAATCTTTTATGAGTCTATGTAAGCTTTTTCTCTTGTTAGTTGTTTGAAGCAACGCCAACTGACTTGACGTGGGTAAACCTAATAATTGTACAGACCAATTGACAACCCCCCCCCATACACTCGACTTGAAATGAGTATCTGCGCATCACAAAAGGGACCGATACATGCAGAGTGGTCTGCCTAAGAAAGGAATTATTTACATGCATGGAGATTAGCAAATAATTGATTGAGATTATAAGTGATTCTACTATTCAGGCTTTGAAGGCTGGTGGTCTTTGGAACAAGTTCCAACGTGAGATTGAACAGCGAAAAGTTGTGAAGAAGTCGATAAAAAAGAAACTGAAATCAAAACAACCGCATTCGGCTGCTAAAGACGAAGAAGTGTTAAAAATGATATTCGCTGAGTAAGCGTTATTAGATTTGTTGTGCTCTGTCAATCTCTCCTTTGTTGTTGTTGATAAACAAATTTCACTGTTTCACGAGGCGTTCGATAGCAGAGGTGATGTAGTGGTACGTGGTGTAGTTGCAAAACACACTCGATCGTCAAACCTGCAAATCTCGCCGAAGCTAGTTGATATTTTATCCTTTCAAGGATCTGACCTACCAGCTGCATTTTTAAAAAGGATAAAATCACTGAGAAATCTACAGCAGCTTTTTCCGCCATTTAGAAGGGGAAAAATCACTGCGCAAGATATTTGCATCCCTTTGGAACGTATAAAATGTGCGCACTCTGAAGGATCTTTAGAAGAGCCATTGGGTAGCCGAAACGTAGTTAAAGTTGAAAGTTCTGCGAATTCCGAATGGTATTGAATAGAATCCAAAAGATTGTGTACCTTAAGCACTTCCGTTGCACCATCTATCCGAAGAGAGGTCGACTTGACTCGCGTATCGTGGCTGATGATAGGCCCTTCAAACTGTTCGTAATTATGAGATGTTTAGATTTGTTGTTTTATTGAAAAAAAAAACCAGTTTTGTTGACAATAAATCGGAATTCTAAATTCTGAATAAAAACCTTCCTGTATTCAAGTTGTTCCTAGGAGTGAATTTTTCTCAGTAAGGATTTCTTTGGAATTCAGCAAATCGATCAAAAAATTCGCAGTAACGTTATCAACTTAACATAGCAATAAATAGATATGTAATTTTATAGGAAAGATTTTATGTCCTACATACCATGATTTTTTAATTTTATTTTGTAAATGTATTATTTATTATGGGAGTCAGAACAAAGAGGTAGTCTAGTTCCCGTTTCGCATGTGCCTGTGTAATGTAAGTTTTTGCTTTCCTTCATCTCCTTAAGACCGATATACTAAATGAAAAATATAAATAGGATGAAGTTGAAGCGTTTCTTAGTGCGCACATAGGGTCAGGGTAGTATAGGCCGAATCGCACTGAAAATCGGCAACGGTTCTGGGGAAAGTGAAATGCATGGCGCGATTCGGAAAGAGATTGGTTGTGTCTTCCATCCTTGTGGGGATGCTGTTTCAGCAACGTCTGCCGTGGCGGTTCCTGGTTTGGGCAACAATATAAGTTCATGTGCTGTTATGGCCTTGCTCTCTTTCACTTCATTGCTTTCCTCCATTTATTAGGTTGGTAACTTTGAAATGTCGCTTCCTTTTGTGTCTTTGTTTCTCAGCTCAAACACAACCCCGTGATATGGAAGAGACCATTCATTCGAGAGAGCGACTTAGACGCATATTGGGAAATCTTAGGCGCCACTGAGCGGATGTTCTCGAGCCAAAACTTCTGCTCAAAGATGATTGATGAGAAAACATCGTCTGAGCGTATATATTCAAGCAAGGCAAAACGGCAACGAGTTGGCCTATTGGCGTGCACTATTGAGCGGCTAAGATTATTTTGGGGGCATTCCGAGCTTGGTTTCAATCTTTCCACTGGAGCGAAGGACTTGTTGCGGAGTCGTGTGGGCTATTGACTGATACTGGAATGCAGATTTAAAGGAAGCCCAATCGATGTCGTCGTCTAGTACAATTAAGCTTAGGAGAGTGTGCTGTGTGAACCAGTACAATTTAATGTTTTCACATGTGACTACAAAGTGACGAAGAGAGGGTTTTCAGGATAGAACTGGGTTCGTCTATTCTGCCGCACGGAGCAGCAGTATGGTTGGCGATAACGGAATTTTCCGCTTCAAGAAGTGAGCTGTGTAAGGTTAGAGTACTGGATTTCGTGCTGCGACGTGGGCGTGCCTTCTGTGCGGAAAGACAGCCGGGATTATAGGTTTATTGAATTGGGGAAATTATAACAGAATGTTTGGAAGATACTGGATCGGAGCCCGGCGTTGTCGTTGTTGGACTCAGGGATCGGAATACAGCCCCGGGTAACGGCGCGAATTATTGCTTTGAAACAAGCCGAAGCTTTCGTACGGGTTGACCATGAGGCTCCTTCAGCCTTGCACTACGGCTTATACACTCCAGCATAGGCTTATCACTCGACTTAAGGCTTTGATATTCCAGCCCTTGCTCCATTCCTTCAGCCACTAAGGCTATCTCTCGCTCTCCTCTATCGAGCTTTGGCCCTCCTTCTTACGGGCCCCTGCGGCTCCTAACCGCACTTACCACTCTGGCTCCTGAACCCCTTTTATAGGTGCATTCCCGCCCGAACCGTTTCCCTCTGGCAAGGTGGTCTCCTATGACCCCGCGCGATCGCCTCCTTCTCGACCTACCGTGCTCAACCAGCTGATCATAGCTGGCGTCTTGAGGCAGGCATGCCTTTCCCTACAGCTAAACTTCCGCTGTCGGTCTCCTCACGGATATTTTTCGGAATACAAAGCGAGAAGATGGCCGCGGTTGGAAACAGATGGACCGCAGAGGATGAGTCCAAAGCTGGACCTCCATGGGAAAAAAGTCCTGCTCGTTCATGATGAACATTATACATTTAGAATGCCACTCTGGGTGTGTTGTTGGTCACAGTTGCCGACTGAACCCTGGCTGCGCGCAGTCAGCGCGTAGGCCCAGCGTTGCGCCCTCAGCGGGAATCAAGCCATTTAACTATTGACGTTATGCAGGAGCACTGTCGCAAAAATTACGCCTAGAAACAATCGGGGTTGCGTAGCGTTTTACTTTGCGCTTAGCCTGATCTGGCGCTTCTCTATCATTGGTCAGGTCATGCCCCGCTTTTGCAGCAAATTTGATCACCCGCAAAACTGCGAATTCGGTACCTGTACACTTTGAGTCATATCTGAAGAGTTTACGAGGTGGCCTCATGCTTGCCCATACAAAGGTAGTGTGATGCATTGCCAAAGTTACCAACTAATACATTATGTCGATAGGTGCTGGTCGTGGAGGCCGTCTTTTCCTCGTTGCTTATTTTCGATGGGTTTGTTTTTTTTTCTGTCCAGCGTTACGTGCTTGTGTTGGCACATCTTTATATATTTTATTTATTTATTATTTTTGAAGGCGCGATTCGGTTGGTTCTGTAGGGTTTTTAGAAGCGTTCGGTGTGTGTCAATGCTAAGCCAGGTGGTCATAAAGCAAAGCACTTCATCGAAGAATGCAAAAGGGACCCCTTTTTGGCCGCTTGTTTTTCCTGTCAGCAGGGTAACACGCGGAGTGGGGAGTATGAAGGTTTCGCAACGGTGTTGCCGGCACCATGCCAGTCCAGCTCCATCGAGTTGTTCCGTTGAGCCCGTGCTGCAAGCTGCTCGTTGCTCGCAACTACTACTGGGTGGATCGCTTTTGGGGCGGAGTGCTTTCGAAGTCCTGTTCAGCAACAGGTGCGGACACCTTTCGTCGTGAAAGGTGTCCGCACCTGTTGCTGAACACTTCCTTGCAGCCAAGTAACTGCTTCGGGTGGTACATATGCTTCCGTGATGCGCTCCCTCTTTATCGTTCGCTCACCTTAAATGCAGAAATAGTTAAATATTCTGAGAAGTAGCCACTCTTACCAAATGTGGTTATCCTCCCCAGGCAATTATCGACCTGTATTGGGCGATCATGGGTAGCCTACGGTGCGCACACGGGCAGGCTCATATAGTAATCGCATGTGAGCGACCCCTTTACCCTCCTACTCTACAGCCGTGAGGACGGTGAGAATGATGTGGTGATAGGTGTAGCTACTTACCACGTGCAGTTCAAGGATCAAGTTCTTGATAGAATCTTGCTAGATAAGCCAACTAAGCTTTGCTTTTCTGCTGGGTCGGTCAGATGGTACCAGTCTCGTCTGGAAGGATAAGTACAAACGCAGGGTGCGTGGCGCATGGCAAAAGATTTATAAATGGGGAATGCTTTCGGCTTCTTGCTTTGTGCGAATTTGTCAAATCATCATAAGCCAATGTGTCCTCATTGTGGGGAGGATGGGGCGGAGGGAAGGGGCTGAGGAGTGTTGCCATTGAAAGGAGCAGTACGCAGTGGGATTACGACACACCGTATCTTCTCAAAAATTTCCCTTCGTTTGAGCGGTACTGCAACATAACTCGTACCGTTGCTGAGGGGCGATCAAGTTTCAGTTCAAATGATCATGAGTCAGTGTTCTGGAAAGGTGAATTTCATAAGTCGTAGATCCTTGAAAGGACCTAAAGGCTTCTTCTATGAGTGTCGTGGTTTCCGTGGGATTTTGCTGATTTCTCCCTTTATTCTACATTTATTCCTTATATTTTTAATCCCGTTCTGATTTCGAAGGGACTTTGACCCAAAACCCGTTTTCTCTTGGATAATAAAATTAGCCACTTTAGAATTGGTCCGTAAGTGAACCAGAAACGTTTTTGGACTAATGATGACAGTATGTATGACTGCCTTTCAGAAAATGTTTGCTGGAATTTTTTTTGCTCGAAGAACATTTTTGTTTCCGAAAGGCATGATGGCGTCTCGGCTCATTAGGCAACAGTACATTATAAATCAAGCCTCCCAGAAAGATCCTTGTTTCTGAGAATATCTGAACGAGTACTAGTATCAGTCTGTTTGCTTGGAATGCTGAATTGAGAGACTGTAGTTTTACCCAACCTTTAAGGTTCCGCGAGACCCGGTACACTGGAATAGAATGTTACACTTTATTCGTATATACAATTCACACTTAATCTACAACCAAGAAATTATTGCTATTATCCGACTTCCGCCATCCGTTCGATATCGATTTCAAGCAAGCATCATTTTTTATGAGATTTGGATCCTTGAGCAAGAGTGGAGCGAGACCTCTGAAAAAGAAATGGGTGTAGTGGAGATTGGGCAGGTATCTGTGTTTTATTACAGTATAGCCATCGTTGGAATAGTCAAAGCTCGTGATTGTTGATAATTTAAGCATAAATTTGTGTGGAATGTGTGGATTTATTTGTGTGGGCGCTTCACTTCTTCCTCACTAAGACCATCAGCCTTTGATGGCAACTTCATATACCCTTAGGGGGTCCTTAATGTGTCACATACCCTAACAGTGTGGTCGACACAGTCTTACTGAAACTGCCTCTAGTATAATATGAGAGGCTTTGGCCACCTTATCCAATTATCTTTGCTTACTTACCTTCTCTTAGAGTCCCTTTAGCCAGAGTTTGTCTTCTCACCTCACACAGGGACTTTGGCTCTAGAGGGATAATTTCTCTGCAAAAATATCCCTGTGCGTTTTTGCGTATTTTTTGTTTACCTGTTGTTATTCTTCTCTTAATTGTCCACTGAAGGGTTCGCGAAGCAAGCCGCTTTACCACACGCACAGCCGCGGATTCATTCCAGACCATTTTCCCCACGGCTAACCAAGCCCTTCGTCAAGGACTCGCTAAGTTGGCGCACCGTATTTGTCGAAAAAGAAAGCGTTATAATTCTTGGGCCAACCCGTCCTTTCATTGAGTTGCTCGAAACGTAAATCAAATGCCTCTTCGATTTTGGATGGAAGTTCAATACGTGGCGCGTCCCGAAAGTAGTTAAACAGTCACTGGAACTTTGGTCTTTTATTTTCTTAATTAACCACCGTTGAACGCCAACTACTGGAATTAACTGGAATCTACCTATTCAGCGAATTCTTGCTTACTTGTGGAAATTTTATAGTTCGACCGCAACCTGTCCTTACACTGATTGATGCGGGTCTTTTCCATAGAACGTTTTCCTATTCGTGCTATCCATAACTACGCAAAATGAGTACCCTCTTGAGTGTTGGAGATTTTGAAAGCCTCAATCGAGAAAGGCAAGGTATTTTTTCTGGAAAACCCCTTCATCAATGATGGGATTCGTTCTGTGACTGGAAACGGAACTACATTGAGCGGCCTTAGTGGCTGTCCTATTCACCATTGTGCTTACCAGAGCCTGACATTGCCTTGATTCCACTAATCTAACCAGTTTTTTTCAATCACACTATCTCTTTTGAACATTTGGAAGACCAATTTTCGGGGGATTTTGAAAGCGAGGAAACGTTCACAAACCTGACACCGGCGTTAGCGAAGCAGCGGCAGAGTTGCTGAATCGCTGGAGTGTTGAAACCTTGTCTGATGGCGCATTGCTTAGCAGTCTGGACAAGAACGTTGTCTGGAGGCAGAGCCAAACCGCAGCTGGAATAAATCGAATTTAAGCAGTTTTAAATCCTCATGGTTTTGTATCGATGCGGATGGGAACGAACTTTAGTTTCTTAAAGCATCCTCCGGTTCCTCGGTCCATGCATTTCTCAATGCAGGTTGCGAATTTCTTTCCTCCAGCCATGAAGCTTCGCGCCTCTGCCTGGATGCCTGAAAAAAGTGGTTTA